GGGTGGGTGGGTGGGTGGGTGTGAAAGGGCATGGATAAAGTGGTTTGCTTATGTTTTTCACTGACCGTAAACATTTTTTCAGTTCACAAGATTCTGCAAATGTTTAGTGACTCGTGGTGCTACTTGTTCTGAATCAGGCCCACATTCGCACGAATTATCAAGAAGAAGTCTACGGAGAAGTTCTCCTCGCTACCCTATATCACGACTGTGTTGAGTTCTGCTATCTGGGCACTGTACGCAAGCCCAATGCTTGCCAACACGTTCCAGATGTTCACGATTACCTCTCTCAGCGTCATTGTTCAAGCGATTTACGTCGCCATTTTTTTCACCTATGCACGGGACTCAGCCCTGGTTAGTAAAGCCTCAACCACCCCCCTCTTCCTCTTTCCCTTTGTTCCTAACAGTCGTTAGGTTGGCTGTGTTATGATGACATTAGAGTGACCTCTTGGTCTCTAGTTCGCACTTCATGTTGATCTCTATTTCAATTCCATTGTTTCGCCTGTACTATCACTTTGCGTTGATTTTGGCATTGTAGCGTGTGTCCTGCTGAGCACTTTACTTCTCTCACATCCCACTCTTTTTCTTTCCCATTGTTCCTCTTTAAGTTGATTATGTGGTGCAGAACTAGGTACTATAGTTAAATCTGGCGCCCAGAAAGGAGCGAAGAGGTGCTCTTCCACGAATGCTGATACATTGATACTCACTTTTTCATGATGTAAATCTGATGTAAGGGACGCTGGACCGGTTTTCCAGCAGGTGCAGCTCCCCACTAATAGATGGAGCGACGCCAACAGGCTCTACTAGGGGATGTGGTCGCTTGTATCACACTCCCTAGTAGGTCCTAGTCTTTTGAAAAAAAAAAAAAAGTTGATGATGATGATGATGGAAATGGTTGTACCATCTCTAATGTGTATTATGTTGATCTCAAATCTGTTTCCTTTTTTTTTTTTCTTTTTTTTTACCCAAAACAAATTGGACCATTTCTCGATTTATGCATGTCATCCCTGCACAGAGGCCATGCTAATCTTCTCTGTATCGTTCCAATTTTAAGTTTTAACGGATGTCCCGAAGGACCTCAATCTGTATTTCTAGTTCGTGTGCGGTGTACACTTCCAGCCTGTGAAGTTTGTGGTCTATCTGAACACCCCAGCAGCATATGTCCTCCCTGACACTTAAAACTCCTCCCATTTCATGACTATTAGTAGTGATGCCATCATGCCCAATGCCAATTGTGGAATTCTCACCTTTGCGTATTTTACAGCCATGGACTATTTCACGTTTGATGCTACCGTCTTGACCCCTGGCGGGTATCACCCACCTGCTGTAGCAGGTATCACACCTGCTGGTGGGTGCAGCTCCTGCATGTTCCCTCGTTGGAGGCTTGAGCATAGATGTGGCTGCTACGGGCTTCCCCGTAATACTATAATGACAATAAAAAAGGCCTGAAATGCCGTCCTGTCCAGATTCGACAGGTAATTGAATCACTTGGGCTTAAAGAATTGCCCTCTTTTTTTTTCTTTTTTTTAATTCAAAATTATTCAACTTAATTGTGAATTTTCAATTTTCAATTTTCTGAAATCAATGAAATTTGAAATTTCATCAAGTTAGCTTCTTTTTAATTGTTCTACTTTTGATGTGGTCACTTTGGTGTGGTGGTTGCAGAAGGGGGCATTCATCAACCTTGCCGCAGCAGCGTTGATATTTATGGGTGTTTTGGGACTGGGGCAGTTCTATGAACCTGCTAGCGACCGTGCGGCTGCTGTTGGACTCGTGGGTGACGTCCTTGGAGTCGCATCCTTTGCTGCCCCACTCTCTGTTTTGGTGAGTCGGGATCTATCGTCGATTATTGTGCTTGCCTTTGATGCGTGCCTCTGCACCTTTCATCCTCCAGCCAGCATGGACTTTTTTTTTTTTTGGCATGATCTTGCTCAGGCCTTTATTGCCCTTCTGATGTATTCCTCTTAGGTCACCTGCATAGACCTGTCAGATCTGGCGCTGTTCCAATCGGAGCTTGAACTCAGGACTGCCTGTTTCCATTGGAAATAGGAACTCAGGATTGTGTTTCAACTGTTCATGGGTATACCGACTGAGCTAGGCCATTGTTGATGAGCTGCTGCCTGGAATATGGAATCGAATACGGGGCCCCCCAGCTTGGCTTTGCTTATAATCCTCCTGTAACAGCGAGCAATCAATGCCCGTCAGGGGTCCTTCGGCCGAACGGAAGGACGTGTGAGTGTGTACGTGATGTATCCGAATTATTGACTCGCCGGGGGAATAGGAACCGGACTGATGCGGGAAAAGAAAAAAAAAACACGCCGGGGGAATAGGAACCGGACTGATGCAAAAAAGAAAGAAAAAAAAGAAAAAAAAGGAACCGGACTGATGCTCCCCAGGGCTGTGGGCCCGTTAGCGAAGGGGATAGGATAGACATCCTGAATCTGGCTATTTTTTATGCAGAGATACAGAAAAGTTCGATCTCGATTTCCTGCTCCTGTCCTCAAACACGTCCAGATTCAGGCATTCAATCCGATGCTCTTTGCTAATGGGACCACGGCCCAGAATGCATATGGAGACACGACTATAAGGCCCTGTTTTATGGGGGGGGGG